AACCCACACAACAGGAATTCCATCCTTGGCGATGAGAGGGTTTCGTGGGGTCATGTTGCACAAAGCTCCTGCTCTTGGATAATTCCTAGGATGAGGCATCTACTTCTCTGAAAAAAACAGTTGCAGTTTTCTGCCACTTTCATCATTGTAAAATATTTCCTGCTTTTAACAAATGTAAATCCACTCTCATTTAGTTCAGAGATATTGAGGCTTGTTCTGTCACTGCAAGATTTGGGAGAAAATAACTTTAATCACTATTTTTTCTTTTTCACAGACCTTGGAGAGGACCCAAAAACCTCTCAAGATGAGGTTTGGAGGCCTCATCCCATAACCAGCAGTGAGAGGCAGCAGACTCTGGGCTCAGTGGTCTGGAGACTGAGGACAGAATAAGAGTAGCCGGGGAGGGATTAAAGGGTGGTTTCACACATCTCGGAGTTTTTCTTTATTGTATAAAACAGCCAGAGAAAGAGATAATGGCACCAAAGGCAGCTTGGGAAGCCCAGACTGGACACCAGCAGAAAGGAATTTTCCTCCCAAGGCAAGGTTGTGGTGCAAAACATCCCCCAGAAGGAGTCTGGAATAGCCCAAGGCTTTGTGTGGGCAGGCAGAGGCAGGCAGGAGGCAGAGCTGCCAGCAAAGGAAGGGGCCAGCCAGGTGGGGCAGCCGGGGGATGACGACAGCCTGCAGGGACAGAGGCGCAGGGCAGGGACACCGTAGGACAGCCTGGGCTGCACAGGGCACAGGGATGGGCAGCAGCTGCAAGGCCCTGACAGAGCCAACTTGGGCAGCACTTTGGCCATGGCAGACACAAAGAGCACCAAAGCCCCAGAGGGTCATTAAAGTCTCAGCAGAGTTTTCCCTCCTGACCATCATGTGCTATGACCGCTATGTGTCCATCTGCAAACCCCTGCACTACGGGACCCTCCTGGGCAGCAGAGCTTGTGCCCACATGGCAGCAGCTGCCTGGGCCAGTGGTTTTCTCAATGCTCTCATGCACACAGCCAACACATTTTCCCTGCCCCTGTGCCATGGCAATGCCCTGGGCCAGTTCTTCTGTGAAATCCCACACATCCTCAAGCTCTCCTGCTCACACTCCAAACTCAGGGAATTTGGGATTACTGTCCTAAGTGCTGTTCTATATCTCGGTTGTTTTGTGTTCATAGTTTTCTCCTATGTGCAGATCTTCAGGGCTGTGCTGAGGATCCCCTCTGAGCAGGGACGGCACAAAGCCTTTTCCACCTGCCTCCCTCACCTGGCCGTGGCCACCATGTTCCTCAGCACTGGCACATTTGCCTACCTGAAACCCCGCTCCCTCTCCTCCCCATCCCTGGATCTGACCTTGTCAGTTCTGTACTCAGTGGTGGCTCCAGCCCTGAACCCCCTCATCTACAGCCTGAGGAACCAGGAGCTCAAGGATGCCCTGAGAAAACTGGTGACTGCAATAAATTCCCTTTTCCGCTGCATAGTCTTCAGAATGTAACTCTTACAATCTCAGCCTTTTCCCCCCTATTTGTCTATTTCTTATTATGGGGACTATTTCTATTGTTGTAATGTTTCTTACAAAATACTGTAGTATTACTTTTAGCATTTCTATATTAATATCTACCTTTCTTTTGAAACAGAAAGACTTGCAAGAGGCTTGTTCCTTTGGCATTTAAATAAAAACAAGTGCCTGTCCTGACCTGTCCTGTCCCTGGGCCAGCAGGAGCTGCCTGAGGAGCCCCGGGGCCAACTCTGCTGCTGGGCTGGGCAGCGGGGCTGGCCCTGGGGCTGCAGGAGCTGCCCGAGCTGAGCATCTGCTGAGCATTCCAGACCCAGAGTGGCTGTCCCTGACCTCCAGTGCCTGCAGTTCCTGCTGCAGGGCCAGACCTGACTCTGCTGCTCTGCTGGGCTGGGGCAGGGGCAGGGAAAGGCTGAACTGGGCAGTGCCAGGGAGAGGAAAACAATGGAGCCTTGTCCCCACAGTGTCAGAATGGTCTTCATGGTTCCATGAGGCCCCACCGTGTCACAATGGCCCCTTCATTCTATTAAGCCCCACAGGGTCACCATGGTCTCCTGGTTACAGGAGGCCCTGCAGTGTCTCAAGGGCCCCTTGGTTCTGTGGAGTCCACAAGGTCAGTTTTGCCAATGGGCAGAGTCACCACCAAGGACCAGCCACCAACTGAAGGAATTGTGTAATTTTTATAAGGTAAATCTGCAAAAATCACAAAAGTAGAGCACATAATTATTAGAAAATAATTACAAAAGCAGAAGACTTGTCTGATTTTTAAACACAGAAAGGTAAATCCACATTTCACCAATGAATAGATACAGAGAACATATTGCTAAAATGATTCATTAATGAGCAGATACAAAGATAATCTTTGCTTGGAAGGTTTATCTATAGGTCAGCTTTGGCTCAGGGCCTGCTGTTCAGACCTCAGTCAGGGCTTAGTGTTAAGGACTCGGGACTTTAACTGGCTCCTTTAACCTGCAGATGAACTACAACCTTTATAACAGTTCTTTCAATAACACTGTTTAGATTTAGATATTAGGCATACAGGCATTGCCTCTTGTTCTTCAACTAAGTGCTGTTCAAGTTCATTACTCAGAACTATAATTCACATTCCTTTTAAAACAACCCTAAATAGTTGCTATTCTCCGTTAGTTTATCAAATCCCATTTTTTCTTGAGACTGTGTCTCTATTTAGACAAGTCTCAGTACTCCATTTCCAGCACACAACAACTCTAACATGGAATAATAACACACCAAGTCCTCACACTGCAATGACAGACACTGTCACAAATTCATTTTGCAGCTGCCTCCAATTTGGCAGCCATGAAGCCAATGCCACCCAGATGAATTGTCTTCTTTTTTCCACTCTTCTACTGTTTTTTTCTGTCAAGGAGATTCGTGACTGTTTGACTTGAAACCCAGCACTGATAGCAGTGCAACATCCCTGTACCATTATAACCCAGGTTCCTCCTTGGCCATCAAGCAGATAATCCAAGGCCATGCGGTTCTGTGGAGTCCCCATTCGTGTTTGTTGGAGCTCACAGGATGTGCTATTGGATATTTTCATAGTATCATTTCCTATTTCTTCTAATAATCAATTTATCTGTAAACTCCACAGTATAATGCAGTGCCCATGGGGCAGAACGTGAACAAGAATTTTTGGCTTTCTAAAAACCAAGGCACTCCTTGGGGGGAAATTCTTCTGTGGGCCCCAGGTCTTCCTTGTGGTTGTTGCTGAAGGACCCTAAATGGTGGCCCTGCAGCCAGGAGTGGTGTGACACTGACATTGACCTGCCCCAGCAGCCCAAGCTCTACAGACATTGGGAGTGATGGTGAAGCACAGAAATCCTCTCACACTGTGGCCTCTGTAACTAGAACAGGCTTGGGTTTCTCCTGAAGGGAAATCTTAGTGAATCCTGTCAAACTGATCATTGTATTCCTGTGTTCCACAGCAGTTTTCTGTAACCGTCCCTTCATTGACTCTGTTATGAGGCAGAGCCCATGGACAGAGTTCTGGCCACCCCACAGGGTGGGCCCTCCAAGGGAGCCCTATTCCTCCCAAATTCAGCTGAGAACATACCTAGCAATAAGTGACATGGAGTACTTTGGCTATTCTGATATTGAAATTTTCATAACAATTTTGATGACCAATCCCTTGGTGAAACTCTAGAGATGTTTGTGGCAAACAAAGATTCTGGCTGACTCCCAAGAGACAACTTACAGACATCAGCAGTACTTCAGTGACACGGTTATTCATTCTTTTTCCTCAGTCTCATTTGGGATAAGACCAATAATTCTGTTGTCCATGGAGCTGGCACCTTTTTAATTTCAGAATAATGCCCCCAAACTCCTTTGCTGTTCAGCTTTAGCACGGTGTCTGTGGGTAACAAAGCTTGGTGGGGCTCTTTCCCCTTTGGCTGGAAGGGGGCCGGGTCCCAGTCCCTGAGGGCACCCAGGCTCCTGGATGGAATTCGTGTGGAAGTCCCTCAGTGCCACAGCAGCCTTCACATGGAGCCCCATGGATCACAGCATTTTCCAAAAGGGTCATTGGGGCAAACAGGGAGATTTGGTCTGGCAGCATGTGAAAAATAATATAATATAATATCTGCTTGTTCTCACACAGAACACTTGGCTGCAGGGACACATTCCCATTGTTCCTGCCCAGGTTTCAGGATTCAAACAGTGCTGTCTTTCCCCAGAGCTGTTATTCCTTCAGCTACCTCAGGAGGGCCTTTTGGCCTCTGGAACCACTCTCTGGCTCCATTATTAGGACTGCTCCATCCAAACCCTTTATCTCTACTAACAGCAGTGATTTGAGGTGGATGTCCTTTTTTCCCAATTGTTTTAAAAACTGACAATATCTATAATTGTGCTGCCATGGGATTGAATAATCCAATCTTGTTCACTGTTGTTCAACACAATTCCTTTAATTTCTCCTTGATAATCTGCAGCAGTTCCTCCTGCCATGACACGAACACTTTTCAAGGCCAAGCTCCAGTGAGCAGTTATCAAACCAAAGTGTCCTGGAGGAATCTGAATTCTTGTTCCTGTATTGATAACTCTCATTTGCTTCTGATTTATCCTCATTAATTCCAAGGCATGAAGACCCAGCCCTGCAGTCTCTGGGCTGGCCCTGCCAGGGGCCATCACACCCAGAACAATTTCCCTGGCAGTCCAAGTCTCTCTGTCTATGGCTGCATTTGCAAATTGGGTGCAGCCATGCACAGCCAGGGGTTTCCATTTCTTCAGTGGGCCATTGTTAAGGGTATGGAGCACATCTGGAAGATGGGTTATCCATGGGGACAGGTTCCCATCTCCTCATTTTTTCAAGTGCTCTTTTAAAAAACCTTCACCCATTCAACCAATCCTGCAGCTTGAGGATTGTCTGTCACATGAAAAACCCAAAAGTCTTAATGACTGCATTTCTCACAGTAATAGAAAAAGCATTCCCCACCACAATACCAGCAAATCCTATAAAATTGCCAATTGCATCCCTTCCCCCTTTCATTCTGGTATACAATGTCACAAAGTTTACCACTGACAGTTGGGTCTTGGCCAGTCCTTTTCTGTACAGTATGTAATGTCACAGTGAGCAGCCAAAGCTGACATATTACCATTGTCAACTTTATTTGACATGATCAATTTTTAATTACATATATATAAATTTTATTATTTTATTATTTTAGTATAGTACATATATGTTGTGGTTTGAAAGCAAAACCAGTGAGACACTCCAAGTCAGAGATACAATTTATTAGAAAAAGGGAAAGAAAACAAAATACCTGCAATAATACAAAAGAAAAACCACTGACAGAGTCAGAATACAACCTGACACCCTGCTAGTTAGGGTGGTGGTAACAGTCCAGATGAAAAGGTCTTGTTGAAGTGGTAATCCTGTAAAAAAGATCTAGTAGCTCTTGTCCTCTGGAACCCAGTGGGTAAGGACAGCTTGTTCTGCCCCAAAACCCAGATTATATCCAGGTGGAGATGATTATCACCTCTCCTACCTGGCAGAGCATCTCACAATGGGCTGATATCCTGCTGAGTCATGGGGTCAATCCTTGATTACCCATTAAGCAGAAATGGCTCCTGGAGGGAGTTATCTCTGAGTCATGTGGCAAGGCATTGATGGGCCCATTAACAGGAGATAAGGAAAAAACAGTGCCCCTCCTGGTATCAACAGCTCTTGAGGATGGGAATAAAACACATCTTTATATTGTAATCTAGGACATAATCCAACCCTTATTCTAATACCATCTATACCCAAACCAAAATCCTCTTACAAATTATATATATATATGTATATGTAAAAATATTGAATGAAACTTTACACACAGTTCTCACTTAAAATTAAGTCTCCTTGTTGTATACAATGGGTTTCCCTGTCCTTCTGCATTACCCACCAAGTGTAACCAGGTCCTTGAGCAAAATCATTCCCATGGATGGGTTTGCCCCTGCCTGCAGTGGGATTAATCCAAACAGTCTTTCCTAAAATACCTTTCATGTGTATCACAGGAACTTTGTCTCCATCAGGGAAACCCATTGTATACAACAAGGAGACTTAATTTTAAGTGAGAACTGTGTGTAAAGTTTCATTCAATATTTTTACATATACATATATATATATATATATATATATACATATATATATAGAATGAAACTTTATACACAGTTCTCACTTAAAATTAGGTCTCCTTGTTTCCCCATCCTTCTGCATTACCCTCCAAGTGTAACCAGGTCCTTGAGCAAAATCATTCCCATGGATGGGTTTGCCCCTGCCTGCAGTGGGATTAATCCAAACAGACTTTCCTAAAATACTTTTCATGTGTATCACAGGAACTTTGTCTCCATCCACTGTGTGCAGGAGTTCAGACTGGGCAGGATCAGCTCGACTGATAGACACCCTCGGGTGTTGACCATCCAGATGGTTTTTTCTAAGTTCAATTCCCAATTCTGAAGGTTCCCCCACCAAGTGCCTTCAGGGT